ATATTATCATAAGTCCCAAAAAAAAAAAAAAAAAGAAACAAAAGGAAAGAAAATATGAGAAAAGGAAAAAAAAAAGAAAAAAGAAGAAGAAAGAGATCAAATGGGATTTGAGGAAACTGTAAGAGTGTTTTCTTCAACTTGTACTCGCAAAGGATTTAGTATGTTTATTCGAAGAGCAAGGCAAGCTGGCATATGCAATCTAAGTTGCAAGAGCATCATTGCTGCTGGTGATGGTGGTCTATGGAGCCTCAGAAATTTATTGTCTTTGGCTGATGTGGTGAGGAGTATTTGTTGCTTCTTTGTAGCCTTAGTTAATTTCTTGTTTGTGAGTTGTTTGTCTGGATCAATGTTACCTCTTAGTCATTGCTTTATTTAGGAACTCATCACATAAAAGCTCATTTTCTTGGTCTCTGGGATACATAAATTATTTTGGGGCCTTGTTTCTAAAATGTTCTTTACAGTGGGAAAAAATGAGGAAAAGACTTCTCATAATTGCTTTTTGTATTCAAAATGCTTGGCCTACAAACATGGCTGGTTTTCATTAATCTTTTGGTTCTGTTCCTTTATCCTGCATTTGTTCTCTTTTAAATTGTTTTACAGTGAGAAAATTTCTTCCTCCTGACAGGATGTAAGATGAAATAAACATGCTAAAGATCTCTTAGTCTATTTATACTTAATCTGACAACAAGATCGCATTTGGAAGTCGTGGACAAGTTTTGTCTGGACTAATGTTTTTCTTTGAAAAACTTGCTTAAAATCTCGTGTTGCAGGTTGATTATGCATGCACGCCTGAAGAAGTGCAACAACATTTCCAATCTTGTGGTACTGTAAACAGGGTGACTATTCTGACAGACAAGTTTGGGCAGCCAAAGGGTTTTGCCTATGTGGAATTCCTGGAAGTAGAAGCTATTCAGGAGGCTCTCCAACTTAATGAATCTGAATTACATGGTCGTCAGTTGAAGGTAACCCCACTCTGTTCTCTTGGAATATTGAGAATCTTGTTCCATTGGAAATTTGGAACTAAAGACAAAATCTGACAACTTTGTATCGTAAAGGCTCTTCTGATTGCTTCAGTACTGTAGTTGTTCTAAACTGATGGTGGCCATATGAAATTCAGGTCTTGCCCAAGAGAACTAACGTTCCAGGCATGAAGCAATTCCGTCCAAGGCGTTTCAATCCTTTCGTGGGGTATAGATTCAGAAGACCTTACGTGCCCCCTTATTTCTACTCTCCTTATGGATATGGGTATGGCTTGTGGTGCATAAAATGTTGTGACTATTTAAATTTAGATTGGTTCTCTTTTTTCTTGTATCTCACCCTTTCTATTTAACAAATGTATTTCAGGAAGGTTCCCAGGTTCAGGAGGCCAATGCGATATATGCCTTATGGTTAGAAGATTGCGCATGCAGGAGCCTCTTTTACGTCACAATATCAAGATGGTTACATCCTGGAGTTTGAGTTTTTTGCATTTTATGATAGATCTGTTCCATAGATTGACTGACATTTCTATTTGCTTCATCCCATTTGTACCGTGTATTATCAACTTTACGACATTTCGTAATATTAAAGAAAGTTCTGTTTTTAATTTGGACAATTTAATTCGGTTAAATGTCATTTTTAGTTCTTGAGCTTTCAATTTTAAACATTTTTAGTCTTTGAATTATTGTTTTTATACTTTTTT